TGCACTTGAAACCTGTAGAATCTTATATAACACTTCCAAACCCAGAGTCCATCAGAGCCCAAACGCTCATGACTCCCTGCCGCTTTGAGACAGGAATTGTGCCCCTTTAGCCAACCCCAGCAGGAGTCCTGGAGCTGCAAAGGCCGTCCTTCGGGCTAATTTACTGCTGTAACGGCACCACCTACTCTGCTGCTCACCCTGTAATTACACAGGAAATGGACCCAAAATTGTCCTTGAGAGACTGGACATGACTCTTGCCAACTGGGTTTGGCTGGAGGCCCAGATAAGCACTAATGACATATTACAGCAGAGTGCCACAGTTGCAGGCTGGGCCAGACCCAAGGCCTCCGCCACCATTAGTGCCGCTGGGCAAATGACGTCAGGCTGGGGGCTGGGGGCAAGGACTGAAATTCCTCCCACTTCCCAGTATTTTCTTTTGCCAAGAAAAGGAACAAGAGTGATACTAGTACCTTTCTGCCTATATTCCTGGTTAGTGTGATGTTTTGACCTACAGATAATCTTCATGCTATGGCTCTTTCGTTTATTAAAAACCATGGCCACATTCAGAACCCAGAGCATGGAAGAGATGCTAATCCAAGGACATTTAATCTGACCTAGGATATAGTGTATTAGTTATCTATTGCTGTGTAACAAATTACCATAAACTTCAGCAACTTAACACACATTATTACCTCATAGTTTTGGTGGGTCTGGACAGCCTGGCACAGCCTAGCTGCATCTGCTACTCAGGGACTCTCACAGGTGGCAACCAAGGTGTCAGCTGGGCTGCAGTCATCTCAGGTTCCAAGCACATGTTCATGTTAGCAGGATTCAGTTCCTCATGAGCTGCTGAATTGAGGGCCTTAATTGCTCGCTGGCTGTTGACAGGAAGCTGCCCTCAGCCCCTTGCTACATGGGCCTCTCTAACAGGGCACTTGTTTCAGCCAAGCACAGGAGCCCAGAAGGCAATGGAAAGTGAGCTAGAAGGTAGTAGGTCACAATCCTTTGTAATTTAATCACAGAAGTGACAGCCCATCACCTTTGTCATTTTCTAAGGGTTGGAAATAAATCACTAGCCCAGCCTCACTCAAAGGGAGGGGATTACACCAGGAGGGCGTGAATACAATGAGGGGGTCCTGAGGAGGGGGCCACGTGAGAAGTCTGCCTCTCACAGACAGGAACAAGAATTCACCAGGGTAATCCATAGAGGCTACATACAGTGTGTTTTCTTTTTTAATTTCAGGGCCTAATTAATGCCTTAGGATAAAGACAACATTAGTAGAAAATGTAGAAGTAAAACATCCCTCTTATTTATAAACAGGACTGTTGCCATCATTGGCTTTGGAGATAACAGAGCAAAGCAAAGCAAACCTCAAGTGAGGAGCCTAGTCAGTCTTAGAGGGGTGAGGCGCAATGGGCTTAACCGTGGCTGATTGGCGAAAATTCAATTCTTACATGTAGAATTTATCTTTTCTCCCGCCCAAGACCCCATTAAAATAATAGTCAATGAATGTAAAAGATTTCACATTCTGCCTGGGCCATTTGGCCCATTTGAGAAGTAGCATCTGAGGAGTAGATGAGGGACTTCAACAAATTTCTGGAAAGAGGAAAGCGGGGATGGAGTGGCCAGTAGCAGAAGCCACAGCCAAGAACTCACTACAAGGAGCTTATTTAGCCTAGGAGGGTTCTGGTGAGCCCCACAGAACCTGGGAAAGGCTCGGGCTTGAGAGGGGTCAGAGTCAGTGTCATGGGGTAAACACTGGCAGGTTAGCTGAAAATCAATATAACGGAACCTCTATGCACAAACTGGCAGCCACAAGCTGCCCCTCCTCTGCCCCCATGCAGACATATCAAAGGAAAGGGAGTTAACTGAGATAGCCGATTAACCATCTCCGGGACTCAGGGATGATCAAGGACACGCGGGAAGAAGGCGGAGGAATGTAACTGACCAAGCAGGTCTTCACCTAAGGAATGAGCAAGTGCCTGGAGAGACCCTTGGGGGCAGCAGGAAGGCAGGAGGAGAGCTGAAAACTGGGCTTGTGAAGTTTCTGTTCAGAAGGGTTGGACACCCAGGTCCTTCCCAAGCCCCCCACAGCCTGGCTACCTCACCTCTCCCAGCTGCAGGAGGCAGAGGTCAAGTGGAGCTCCAGGCTTGGGCGGAAGGCTGGGGGTGGGGGGAAGTAGGGCTGAAGAGAGAGAGAAAAGGTCAGGTCAGGGGCCAGGAGTCCGGGCGCCTCAGCTCCTTCCTGCTGCTTATTCCCAGGAAGCCTACGGGCAGATGTACCTGCCTCAGGTACAGTCCCCTCAGGCAGGCGCAGAGGCTTCATCTCTGGGAAAGCTGGTCACCCCAGAGGAAAGACCCCTAAACAGTGACATGTAGGGCCCCAGCGAAAGGCCCGTTTGCCACCTAATCCGCTTACAGCAAACACAAGCAGGCAAGAGATCCACGGATATCTTTCTCTGAAATGTAGAGACAAAAATTTTGAGTAAGGAAATGTGCTTTTGCTCCTTCTGCCTAATGGTGGGCATCCGTCTAGAGCCTGACCTTTGAATGGCAGGTGGGAGCCTGGCCTGGGATGACCTGACTATCCCAGATCCAGACCACAACCTCTGGGGTAGGTTGGCTTGATGAGTTTCTGCCTCCTTAGGCCTCCATGCTTCTCAAAGTCACAGCCAGGTGCACAGCACCAAGTTTGGTTTTGGTTTGCTGGCTGGCCTGCTTCCATGAAAT